CGAGAACTGCTCTTTCAAGGACAGCTCTGACAGAACTATGGCTTGCCCAAGGTCATCCAGCAGCTGCAAGTGGAGGAGTGGGGAATCAAACCCAGTTCTCCCAGATTAGAGTCCATGCACTTAACCACTACATCACTTAACCACTACACCAAACTGTAGGAATCAATGGCTATATCTAAAAAAAAAGTGATTTTTGGAAAAACAAATCCTCCCGATAGCAGTACTATATCAAATACACCTTTTCTCAACAACAATGTAACACTCAATATTACAATTTTATCAAGAGTGGTTGGATTCTTTAAGTTCATAGGGAATGTAAAGCTCCAACAATCTATTCTCCTGTATATTTAACACATTGTTAGGAAAATGTTTGTTTAAAGTTGTAGTTATTTAATCTTACTGGACTTGTTCGTCGTCGTGCTATTGTACATTGTTCTTTGTTGTTGCAAAAAATAAATAAAATGTTCATTTAAAAAACACCTTTTCTGCACACGCGGAAGTCCACGACAGTTGCCTTTTTTATTTTTATTTTATTCAGCCTCCTTCCCTGGTTCTTTAGATGTTAAAGCTGGGGGGGAAGGCGGGAAGAGGAGATAGCGTATTTTTATCCCATTCACATTCTGTTAGTACATCTGAAGCAAAAACGCCAACCGTGTGCTTTGCTTTTCAGCTCCGCGCCCAGCCCCAGTGCTTTTTTGGTTATCGAAACACAAAACGTGACGGCGCTGCTTACCTTCCACCCATCCCATAATCATCCACCCGGGGGGCCGTTGCGCTAAGTGGTTGAGGCGGAGTTATTCGATAAACGAGGATGACCGAATCCGTTGCAAAAATTCTGTCAGAAATTCTCCTGGTTTTCTTCTTTAAAGGGAGGGATCCTGGATCCAATGGAAGGCACTGGCGGCTGCCGTCTCTGCCGCCCTCGCCAATGTCCCCTCAGGAGAGAGGGTTGCCATCCTCCAGGTGGTGGCTGGAGACCTCCCACTATGACAACTGATCTCCAGGAGTCATAGATTAGTTCGCCTGGAGAAAATGGCCGCTTTGAAAAGTGGACTGTATGGTATTATACCCCATTGAGTCACTCTCTTGCCCAAACCCCGCCTTCCTCAGGCTCCACCCCTAAAATCTCCCGGTATTTCCCAATCTGGACCTGGCAACGGTATCAGGAAAGTTAACGATACCCTCGCGGAGTAAACCTCTTCCCCCTCCTCACTGCAGACCAGACATGGCTGTTACTCCACGTGGGTCCCAAGCCCCCAAGGATCAACCTTCTGAGGGTTGGGAGAGGGGACATTGGGGGACATCAACAGTTCTGGTGTGAATGGATTGCTGGTTCCAACTGACAGCCTGCTGTCACAACCACTACCGGAATCAGTACAGACCAGTTTCTTGCAGAGACACGAACAATGCTGCATTGTCTAACAGATTGGGAAACATGTAGCGATTTGGGGGGGTGGAGCCTGGAGAGGGTGGGGTTTGGTGAGGGGAGGGACTTTAATGGGACACAAGTGCCACAGAGTCCACCTTCCAAAGCGGCCATCTTCTCCAGGTGAACTGATCTCTGTCATCTGGAGATCAGCGGTAATAGAAGAAGAGAGAAGAGGTTGGATTTATACCCCGCCCTTCACTACCCAAAGGAGTCTCAGAGCAGCTCACAAACTCCTTTCCCTTCCCCTCCCCACAACAGACACCCTGTGAGGCAGGTGGAACTGAGGGAGCTCTCCTGAGAATTGACCTTGAGAGAACAGCTCTGAAGGAACTTGTGACTGACCCAAGGTCACACCAGCAGCTGCACGTGGAGGAGGAGTGGGGAATCAAACCCGGTTCTCCCAGATTGGAGTCCGCACTCCTAACCACTACGCCAAACTGGCTCTGCAAGAGATCTCTAGCCACCTCCTGAAGGTTCAAGCCACAATTGGACCGCAGTGATTACACACTGGGGTGTACCTCCTGGAAATTGGCAACCCAATTGACGGGAGTCCTCAGGCAGAGGTCCTTGAAGCACACCTATCGCCCTAGATGACTGTCCCTATTTTAATCTGCGAAATGTCGCGGGGTCCGTGGTTGCCGAAACATCGAAGTTAAAAAACCCCCACAAAACAAACGACATCAACTAGCAAAACTTAACATTTCATTCCAACTTGGCCAAAAATCTTCTTCCCCTTCTTGTTAAGGGTTCCAGCCAGTTATTTCCCGTTGCTTTTATTATCCTCCGGGAGCCCCTTTTTATATATCTGCGCTTAAAGGAAGGAGCTCAGAGGGGCTGCTCCCGAGCAAAATGGAAGGCCCAGTTCCCCAAGAACAAATAAATTAAGCTCAAAGAGGTTTCTCCGCCACTGCTCACTTTTATTTTTCAAACCAAAGATCTGCTGACTTATGTTTTTAAGAACTATGCACGTTCCGTTTCATCTTGCTACTTCCACGCGGTTTCCAAAGGAGCTGTCGACCCTTGAGTGAGTCCTTTTAAAAGATTTTTAGACGCCAGGGAACAAACATGAAATTAACAAAGCCGCAGACCCCAGCAACTTCAATCCCTTTTTCCTTATCAGAAGAGTAAATAACCTACATCTGCTCTTCTTTGGTGAGCCTACAAACTGTAAATAATTTAGCTTATGCAACCATCTCGGCATACGCTAGGAAAAAAAAACACGCTTGCTATCTTAGCGTTATTCCTTTTTAAAAATGTCAATGCGTGTATTTAGTGAGTCAATTAAAATGCCAGTTTGGTATGGCTTTGATTCAAGTGACTCATTTGTGGGGGAAACACAGCGACGGGTTGG